GCTGATTTCTTCTTCAACTGCTGCAGCTGCTGCCCAGCTGCTGTGGGGCCCCAGGGGCAGCCAGGGGAGCCGGGACCCCCAGGTACACTGATGCCTCTCTTGCTGCCCTTGGATAAAGCACATCAACCCTACTGAGGAGCCTCCTGCTTTTCCTTCACAGAATGAGCAGGCAGGACTCGAGCAGCAAATTCCGAATGTGATCGTGCACAAGAGCCACATCCCAAACCACCAACATGAGTGGGAAAGCCCCCAAAAGGAGCTTGCTCCCCATGGCACTCACTCTGAGGACCACAGTGGGGTGGGAGCTTGTGCAGAGTTGGCCCCATATCACAGGGCAGCTGGCAGGTGCCCCACATTGCTGTGCTCTTCAGTTCCTGGTCCCTGTGCCTGATTCCCTGGGATTCACAGATTTGCTTTCCCATTCACTTCAACCACAGTTTTATGACCCTCAGAACTTCCTGCCAGCAGTTTTATGTCTTTGCTGGAAGGCTTATGAAAAAAGCCTTGGATTTTTATTTTTTTATTATGGTTTTCCCTCCTCGGAAAAGAGGGAGTTAAATACAAAAATAATTTTGGGTTCAGATTTGAAAGTCATCATTTGCTTTCACAAGAAGAAGATCTGCTTAGAGCACCTAAATATTTCATGACACCCTTTGCCTCTCTTTTCTTCTGCTGCTAAAATTCTTATCTACAGAGCACCTAATTCTGATACCACTATAATGAATAGAGCATTAGCCTGCAGATGTTCACTTTAATAGCAGTAATACTGGAGATAGAAACCATTCATCTGAGAAAAGGTGGTAAAAGAATGAAATAATTTTCTTTTAATACAATGTACTCGAGGGATTTTCACTTCCCATAGCTCAGGAGGGATTTGCTAATGGAAATTAAAGTGGTTGCAGAGGGAGTTTGCACTCATGACTCTCTTGGGTGTTGATGGAAAAGTCCTTCTGTTAAAGGGGTTGTGTTGTGATGACTGAAGCTGCCACAGTCTGCTTCCAGACATGCACTGGGGGTCTCCAGATTCCCAAGGAGGGGATGAAAAAGTGGAGGAAAAAAAAGAGATGGAAGCCAGCTTGCATGCCTTTCAACCTGTCCTTTCTGCAGCTTGGAGCTGTCTGCCAGGTTCCACTTTTGTATTTGCAGACTTAATTCTTTTTAAGGAGAGGGGCAACTACGAAGCTATGAGAGCTCCTTAGATGCACTCAAATATTTAAGGCAGATTACTGCTGATGTTTTATGAATGTCTGAGCTCCTGTGGCTCAAGGACAACTGAAAGTTGGTTTTAAAAAATCTTTAACTACAGTCAGGAGTGAAATGCAGAGCTGTAAGATTTGGGGATTGCAGTAGCTGAAAGACCTGTGAGCATGCATCCCACTAACCTCTGCTGCCCCCAGCACCCCTGGTGAGCTCTTTCCAGGGTGGTGGAAACAGAGTTTGCTTTACATGCATCCCTGGGTGCTCTGTTGCCATCTGTTACTGTGAATTGTCTTTATAAACTTAAACCTTTGAGTTACTAAGAATATTTTTTTGATGTGATTATATTACAGGTCCCAAGGGTGAGAAGGGAGATGTTGGTCTGCAAGGTCTGCCAGGAACTCCAGGTCCTCAAGGTCCAAAAGGTTCTAAAGGAGAAAGAGGTAAAAAAGACTAACTGCTCATTTCAAACACAGATGCTGTTGTCCTCATCAAGTGCCACAAAATTAGAAGAAAAATTATATTTCAAAGGAAACAGTATGCTGATAGGGATTGACACCCTCTGAGATTTAGCTGTCACTACTGCAGAGACACCCAGACATGCAGGCAGGATAGGAACAGCTGCTCATAAGGATTTCACTCAGAACTCCTTGTGGGTGTGTTGGACTAGATGATCTTTCCAGGTCCCTTTCAACCCTCAAGATTCTGTAAGATTCCATGTTCTGAATGAGAGTTTTAAAACTGAGTTCAATTTCCTTTGGATTAGGAGCATAAATGGGAAAAAACTACCATGGAAGCTACATGCAGGTGTAGCATTTACATCAAGTATCTCAGGCATAATGATTTCAGCTAGGGTGGAAAGCAACAATTATCCATCAGCAGTGACCAAGAGGAAAACCTGCCCTTCGTTTCCTGCTCAGAGCAGCTCTGTCCTGCTGCCACACACCACTGGTAGGACCTGTGGCTGTGTGGGGTCATGGAAAGACACACAGCCAAGGTGACAGTGGGGGTACCAGCAGCAGTGTTCACTCAGGGAGGTCTCTTAGGCTTTGATTCCCTTCTTGAACAAGACTTGTGGCAATCCTGGAGCGAGATATGCAGAGCTGCCATCTTCTCCATCTCGCCGTTTAACAACACCAACCACCTCCCAGTCAGGTGCTGGTGAGAGTCAGAAATCCAGCACTGGGGTGAGATGCAGTTGTGCTTGGTGCTCTGAGAGTCAGCAGAGGTTTCTGAGGGCAGCTCTTGAGGACACATGTTGCTCGTGTCTGTTTTATTAAAGAGAGGAGGGGCACATGCAGAATAGTACCAGTCACCTCTGTGCAAGGCTTGCTGTGCTGCAGACACCATCACCAGTGTTGTCCATACTGATAAAGCCTATTCCTGGTGAAATGTCCTAGGAGGCAAAGGGGAGCAAGGGGAGCGAGGATTAAGTGGAAACCCCGGTTATCCAGGCAAACCTGGGCTGCAAGGTACGTAATGTTGGCTGGGAAAGCCAGGAATATTGCCCTGACCTTTCCCCTCAGTGTTGATGATGCCTCTCAATCTCCAAAGCAATCCATTATTAATGTTTTTAATCTTCTTTTGTCCCCACCTTGCCCTTTTCCTAGGTGAAGCTGGAGCAAAAGGCAGTAAGGGCAGCTACGGCTTCCCTGGACTGAAGGGACAAAAGGGGTCCAAAGGGGACACTTGTGAGAATGGGACCAAAGGAGACAAGGGAGACAGGGGGGATGCTGGAGACCCAGGAGTGGATGGAGAACAGGGTGACAAAGGGGAAAAGGGAGACACAGGGGAGAAGGGGTACTGTGGGGAGCCAGGGGGGAGAGGTGCAAAGGGAGAGAGAGGGGAAGGGGGGATGAAGGGAGAGAAAGGCAGCAAAGGGGAGATGGGAGCTGAGGGTGCTCAGGGGCTGGATGGAAAACAGGGAGAAAAAGGAGAGCGAGGAAGTAAGGGTGAAAAAGGGGACCTGGGACCTGCTGGCATAATGGGACCTTCTGGACCTAAGGGGGTTGCTGGCAGCAAGGGGGTCCGAGGGCCCCCGGGCAAGAAAGGCTCCCGCGGGCCCAAGGGCGCGCGAGGGGACACGGCCAAGGTGCTGCGCTCGGCGTTCAGCGCCGGCTTGTCCAAGCCCTTCCCTCCTCCCAACGTCCCCATCAGATTTGACAAGATCTTGTACAACGACCAAGAAGATTACAACCCTTCCACGGGGAAATTCAACTGCAGCGTGCCCGGAGCCTACGTCTTCTCCTACCACCTGACGGTGCGGGGGCGTCCGGCCCGCGTCAGCCTCGTCGCCCGCAGCAGGAAGGTGGCCAAAGCCCGGGAGACCCTCTATGGCCAGGAGATCGACCAGGCATCCTTCCTGACTGTCCTGAAGCTGAGTGCAGGTGACCAGGTGTGGCTGGAGGTGGCACGGGACTGGAACGGGGTCTATGTCAGCGCCGAGGATGACAGTGTCTTTACGGGGTTTCTTCTGTATCCAGATGTTTTTGAGATCCTGCTGTAGATTTAAAGGGCAAAGGTGTTGCTGAGAAACTTGCCTTTCCCCCTGCCTGTGAGAGGAGAAACCAGCATCAGTTTAGCATATCGATTTACTTGTTAGTTTCTTTAGTCTTTTAACAAAAAAGATTTCTGTTTCTGATACATGGGTTGGTTTTAACTGGCAGCCCCGAGAAGTGACACATGTGGTCACCAAGAGAAACCATTGTCCAAACACCAGCAGGACCAGCCTGGGGCAGAGATTTCCCATCACAGACTTCGGGTTTATAATCAGCCTTCTCAAATTCTGTACTGAAACTCAGTGTCTGACTGAAGTTTTAATCAGGCCAACTCTCACCATCCTTGCATGGTCAAAAGTCTTGGAAATCAGCACTGAATAACCATTGGTTTTGGTAAAGATTGCAGAGTTTGATTTGTAGAGCTCAATCAGCTGTGAACATGAGCAGTAGCTTTCTTGAGATCAGATGAAAAGTTCTATTTTATCACTCAGTATTACCTAGTAGTTTAGTCTTGGTCATGGCTTTGGCTCACACACGAGCCCCGAGGCCTTGTGATGGCCCCGTGGGCCTGTGGGCACCTTTTTAAAAACCTGGTTCACCACAACGGAACTGAATCTTGTGAAATAAAAGTATGACATTAAATAATCTCTGGATGTCAGGTTGGATATATTTCCTTATTAATGCACTTTCTCTCCTAGCAGGAACTTTATGCCACCTCTGGCGTATTAACTGGCACACAAAATTGTTCCAATCACTCATTTTTTTTCTATTTTAGAAACAAAACTCAAGTCTCCTAATTATGCTTCAGTGGCACTGGGATTTTCTTGTCTTCTCAGGCAGTCACAAGCCTGGGACATTTTCCCAGTGATGTGATGAATATTGGGTCTGATCCCAGTGCCGACGGGGCGAATTAGGCTTCTATTCCCATTGCTCTCAGTTTCCTTGCCTAAATTGCCATTGTACTTTCCATGCCATCTTTAAACACCATCATAAATCATGTCCCTGTCCCTAATGTCTCCTTTTTACATGGCACCAAGATGAAGAGTTCTTGAGACTTTTTCCTTTTTTTTTTAAGTACAGTGAGAAAATTAACACCAGAGAACTGCTAATAAATTCTGAGATAAAAACAAGGCAATTTAAAAAGGCTGATCCTATCTGTCCGGTGAGTGCAAAGGGCCTTTCAACTCATCAGCTCTGCAGCCCTCTTTCAACATCAGCAATTCAAATGTGAGATGGTCTGGCTTTGTCAAGAAGTTGGTATTTAATTGTGGTGCTTAATCTGAGTTGGTTCCTATGGAGCTCAAATCCTGAGCACTAAGTGTGTAAAAGATGCAGATTTCAGTTTATGAATTCTCTGGCACCTGTTCAAATACTGAGGAAAACCAAGAAGTTATAATAAACATTTTGGATTCCTGCTGTCACAACACCCTCAATTCTTTTGTTGTGACTTTGTGCTGCTTCCCATACGGCCCCTGTAGCAGATGGTGGTATATGGACACCTGACTAGCAATTTTCCTTCCTGCTGAAGTTTCTTGTACTTTTTGTCTACATAAACCTCCACAAATGCTCTTGAGAAAATGCAAAAAAATGGAGGGTCTCTCAAGTACCTGCTCAGATCTAAACCTCTCCATAAATTAATTGCCTGGTCCTCTGGGGGAAAGAGGAGCTGCCAGCATTGTACAAACTAGAAGAGCACTTGCTTCCTTCCGAAACTCTGCATAAAATGCACCTCTGGAGGGGCAGCCAGAGGAGGAGACTGGGCTGCTGAAGTGCTGGAAGGGGCGGTGAGGGCAGGTTGGTGTGAGCAGCTGGAGCCTCTGCAGGCTGTGAAGGTCCAGACACACAGGCTCTGGGGAAGGCCATGAGATACACGTGGCACAATCCCACTGGTTTCTGAATCCCCACAGTGGATATGGGGGGGCTGAATGGCCCTGGTGCTAAGGACTTGTTTTAGCAGTAACTTAGCACCAGTGGAAGGGATTTCTGTCTGGAACTCTGACTGGGAGGGCAAGAAGCATGCATATGAGTGACTGAAACAACACAGCTTCTTCATATTCATAAGTTTCTCAGGGTCTATAGATTTGCCAGTGGTACTTTTAGTTTAATTTCAAGTATTGACATTTACTTTGAAAGCAGATTTATTTTTTTTTAAATTGAATTAAAAACTACTGGCACAGGCTGCCCAGAGAGGTGGTTGTATCACCATCCCTGGAGGTGTTTAAAAGCCATGCAGATGTGGTGCTAAGGGACATGGTTTAGGACTGGACTAGGTAGAGTTATCTTCATGGTTGAACTTGATCTTAAAGGTCTTTTCCAGCCAAAGCACTTCTGTGATTCTGCAAAAAACATCAAACAAATCTCTTGCCAACTTGAGTGTGTCAAACAGAGTGAGGAGTAGTTTGGATAAATATGGATCTTTGCAGAGAGGGAGTTATCTTTATCAAATATCAAATGGAATTAATAAGAATGCCTGGAAAACCTTATTTCTCTGCATTATTATTATTTTTCTACTTCTGTATCTTGGCAAAACCACGAGTTGTTTGTTAACCCAGTACCTGCAATCAGATCAGTCCAGATCTGGCCTCAAAAATTGCCCCAATCCAAGGCATTTCCCAAAGCAAAGGGTAATTATCATTTTTTTAAAATTACTTTTGCAATCTCAGGGTAGGGAGGGGTACTCTGGAGAAACATTCCACTGCAACAACTTGTAACTGAAGCAAACTGGTCCACAGGAAGCTTTTGAAGTATTAAACCTCCCTCATTTTTATATGGCTTTCCTTATTTTTCAAGCAGTATCAGAGCAAGAGTAAATCACTTGATGGAGGATGTGCTTTTCCTCCTTGTGTGCCACTGCTAGAAATGCCAAAATATTTGTTCCATGTTGTTTCTACTTACCACAGATTTATTTTGTAAAACTAAGCTTCTCCTGCCTGTGCTGCCATGACTTGGTTTGAGACTGGTAAAGGAGAAATGAAATGCTCAGTGTACTAATCAGAAGAGCAGCTGTTTTCACTAACTGGGAAAAATTATTCCAAGCTGATATAAAGCCATAAAAAGCAGCTGCTTCTTTAATTAGGATGCTGAGGGCTAAGTCTACAGAAGGGTTTGGGTGTCTTGCTAGTAAAAATGTACTGGAGCCCTGAGTTAGGCAACCAAGTCCTCTGTATAAACCTAGGGAGAGGGATATTAGATGGATGGATCCTGAGCAGTCATGACTCCTTGCTGTAAGTATTCCTCCTAAAGTCAGAAAACAGAGTATGCTGGAGGGAAGGAAAATTATCCTTGATACTTTGATGAAGCCCTTATCTGATGCAGCTTTACTTTATGCTTCCTCTTAAGGTAAATCAAACACCTGGAGTGGTGGCAGAGCAGCAATGAGCTCCCGCCTGGCACAAATCATGCAGCAATCAGCTCTAACAAGATTACAAAGCTGCTCTGATTTTCACAGGAAAACACCTCTGGTCTGGTGTTTTTCATGCCTTTTAATCCCTGTTTCAGGTGTTACACATATGCCATAATATTAGCATTTATTTTCCTAGGTTTGTTGGCAGGGCAGTGGGATTTGCCCAGAGGAACATCAGAGGCTCATGTCCTGCACCGAGTAGCTTGGCTCTCCCCATGCTTCTTGCTCTCATTCTCTGGCTTTCCAGCTGCCCTGTGCTCCTGAGAGCCACCACCTGCTTTCAGGCATCTCATCTTGCTCACCAGGTGACCTGAGGTTGCCCCAGAATGAAGCCCACCTGCAAAGCCTGAGTGCTGTTGTGTTGGCTGTTAAGGAGTGTAAAGGTGGTGCCTGGTGGTCTTTGCTGATGGAAGGCAGCAATTCTTGGGGGGTATTTCTCCTAGATTTATGTGCTGTGTCCCAGACAGCAGCCAGGTAAGTGAGTGTTTGCTGTTGTGGACTGGTTTGGGTGCAAATGCATGTGTTTTGATCAAGACATGCTGCCTTTCAGGTAGAAATTCATAACAGGTTTGAAGACTTGATGTAATAATTTGAATTCAGGTATTTCAGCTGAAGCATCTCTTGCTTTTTTAGAAACCTGTAACTTTGCTTACAACTGCTCAGTTGTACAAAGACTGTTCTGTTGAAAGGAGGGAAAAAAAACACCCTTTTCAATGTGAATTAAAACAGATTAAACCTTGACAGTGTGATTACTGCTGGTTATCCCAAATGCTTGTAAAATGCTGTAGCTTCATGATAGGGGATATTTATCAAGCAGTCTATAGGCTGGTATTGGTTTTTAAATATAACCACCAATATTTATTCACAGTAAGAACTCTGTCACAGGTTTATGTGTCCTGTCTGCAGAGCTGTACCTCTGAAGCTGGAGTTCCAGAAATATTACTTGAAATTGGTCCAGAATGGCAGAGCACTACACAGTGCAATGGTTTAATTTCCAAAAGATAAGCATTTACTCTCACATGGTGTTACAAGGTCTTATTTAATGATAGCTCTGGTCTTCTGTAGAGGTGCCTGAGGTTAGGTGCACATATTAAATGTCAGAAAGTCAATTTTGGGGTGAATTTCAATCATGTTGTGCATTTTAATTACCTCTCTGAATTGCTCTTGTTTTTTTTGTAAATGAACTCTTTTTCACACAGGGTCTTTTGTGTCTTGATAAAAGAGATTTCTGGGTGATGTTCCACTTGCTGCAGACAGAACTTTCATCCTCAGTTCCTTTTATATGCCATGGTGTTTGGGCTAAACCCTTAAATCTCTTATTTCCATGAGATAAAACTGAACAGAAAGTGAACTGGCTTTGTGTTGGCTCATCTTTCTCAGTTTAATCCCTGAGCCAGCCTTTTTTGAGACTCTCTAGACTTTGATCTGAATTTAAGAAAAACTAAAAGTAATAAGATATTCTAGAACTGAAATAAATGTTTTGGTTTTTTGTTGTTTGGGGTTTTTTTGGATGAAATGGGCACTTGTACTTATTTTTTTTTTTTTTGGATGAAATGGGCACTTGTACTTGAGACATAGTTGGGGGCAAGTTTGTGAGGTGTCAAC